CCTACCCTATATTATTTATTTTATTTTATTTTGCTTTATGTTATATCAGGTACATGGATCCTTAGAATTATTTGCACTTACTATAATAGGTTTGCAGCTTGGGATGAAGATGAGATGGCTTGGATTGAAAATATTTGTTACACATAAACGGACTGCGATTAAGGTCAGAACTCATTTTGGTTGGAAACCTTTATCTCTGAATCTCTGATCAGAGCTTTTAAACTCAGTTACGAACCTTCAAACTCTTTTCAGAGCTGTGAGGTGCGAGGATAACTTATATGTGTTCAGGTGATACCTCAAATGATGTTTTGTTTTAATTATGATAGCCTTAGATTTAAGAATGAAATTTTGGAAAAAAATCAACTAGATTTGAAATAGCATTAGAAGGAGTACCCTGTTAGCTAAATTGTTCATTATTGTCATTTAAAATGAGGTTGAATCGGCTTCATTTTTGAGATTAGTTGAGTGAAACATGACCTAATCCTGTTGTTATATGTAAACTATGAACAGTTCATTTTATATTTTAATATGAACCAGAAAAAAAAATGATGTTTCTGGTGATTGCTTGCATCTGTAAAAAAAGTGTGAGTTTTTTTGTCATAATGAAAGAAAAAGTAAATATTAAAAAATGCTAATGAATCAATTTTAACCTAAAGTGATTGCTTTGTTTTTTACAGTCTCTAACATTGATAGTAATGTATGCTGAAGCTATTGTAGTTTTAATACGACAAACGAATCACTTCCGTGTCACCAGAGCTCTCAGACCCATATTTCTCATTGATACTCATTATTGTGGAGGAGTTAGAAGGTATGTCAATATTATTCTATTTTTTTGGCAAAAGGTTGTAATAGTGAAAAAACATTACTGATTCCAATTATTCTAAAGTTGCCAGGGTAGATGAAACATCTTCGTTTTGTTGCCACAAAGCACTGCTCTGACATTAAAATAATACAGATGGGTGCAAGCAATTTTGTTCAAAGTAAAAAATCTGTTGTTGGTTAATTAAAATATAGTAAACTTCTAAACAAGTCTTTTTTCATTGGTGGATGCTCACAAATTGAAACAATGTAGCCGCTGTGTAACGCCATGTTTTTCAACATGAGAAGGCATGATTGAATGCATGATCAGAAAACTGCCCAAGTGATTGAAAGGACACCCTCTTGTGGCCAGTATTTCCATTTCATTTGTTTTTAATCAATACTTTATCTCTACCATATTTGTTTTATTAGCAGCACATTCCCAACAGAAGTGCATATAAACCAAAAATTGCATTTGTTGTATACTGAATTATTAAAAATTATCTACTTTGATCAGTGAAATACCGCTTTAATTTACAAAGTACATGTTTAGAACAGAATCAGAAAATGTCCTTGTGTGGAATCTGGTCAAACCCTGGTGGCAGCCATGTTTGTTTTTATATATGCGTTTCCTAATATGATAGGATGAAAATACCCCGTAAAATACCGCAAAATTACGGCACGCTGTAACTTACGGCATTACGACGAGAGATGTATATTAATACATGTTATCTCCAGTATTAATAATTTCTAAATATTGTATTTCAGGGTTATGAGGCAAATCTTCCAATCCCTACCACCAATTTTAGACATGTTGGTGCTGTTACTGTTTATTATGCTATTATTTGCCATTTTAGGTAAGAAAAATATTTACACTAAGAGGAAAATGAAAATATGAATAGAATAAAATACTTTATTATCACCTCAAAGAAAATTTGTCCGTACTATTTTGGTATATTATAAGATTTTGATTTGTACATGAAAACTGAAAATAGGAATACATTTGTGAATACAATTTTAACATTTTCTTTTTTTTCAGCTTTCTATTTGTTTCAAGCAGATTCAATCAATTATCAGTTTGACAACTTTGAAGAAAGTTTTGTTAATCTCTTTGTACTACTCACTACTGCCAAGTAAGTAAAAGATGTTGTAGGTTAGCTATCACTACTGTATTATTGTGTGCAATTCTCATGGTGGATTTTCACTTATTAATTGCTCAACTTCCTGTTAAGTAAGACAATAGATTGTTGCAATATCAAGTAAGGGCGATAATTTTGCTATTGTTCATGTAAAGTGAGATGCATCATGGGAGAGCTATTTGTCTTTCAGACCAAACGAAAAAAGTGCTTTTATTATAACATGTATTCATATTATTGTGTTATTGAAGAAAACAACATATAATTTTCAATACTATCAAAGCCTCCTCAACTTTTGGGTTAATTCATTAAAAGTCTAAAAGCAATAAAAAGTAATTCTTTTGGTCACTGGAATTCCCAAATTATTTTGGACTATTTTCCAAGCTTATGATAAAATTCTTATTTTAGACATTTTTTTTTCAGCTTTCCAGATGTTATGATGCCTGCTTATCACAAAAATCGTTTTTATTCGTTATTCTTCATTATCTATTTGGTATTAGAGCTGTATTTCCTAATGAACTTGGTAAGTTTGAATATTTAGATAGAGATGTTTGGGAAGGTTGGAAATCTTTTGGCTGCAAAAACACCTTAAATTTATTTATGAGTCACAGTCACACAATCTAGTGCAGATAAAAGTTTCTGAAATGTAGAAGAAGATTTCAATCTTACTTGATGTCTAGAGTTTTTATTTATGTTTTTAAAGTTGCTGAAGCCTTATCAAGATTACAATATGAAAATGTGAATGGAAATTGTGTAAATGGAAAAATTACGTTTTGTCAATGAGCTGTTGTTATCATCAGTTGTTATACTTTAGTTCAGTTCTTTAAAAATGACTAATTTCCCAATACTAATTTTTTTTTTTATTTATACTTTTTTTACCCAAATTAATGTTAAAAAAAAGTTCAGCAAAATTGATATATTACTTTTGTGTTGCATTCGCCATCATGGATATTCAGAAATTCTTAGATATTTTCAGCTGGCACCACCCAGCATTCTGATTGGTTACTGGCTTGACCTATCAAATGATGTGGTTTCAAATCAACTTGTGCATGAAAACATTGTTTGTGCGTGACTGAAAATAAGTTGAATTTTACTTGCATTTCATAACAAACCAACAAATTGATATTTCATACTTCATTATAATCATAAATGAGTAATATTCATCATTGATAACAACTCAAAAACTTGTAATAATAATATGAGGTTATTACGAGGATACTTCAAAGTATACATGAAGACAGTACAGCGAAAGTATCGGCTGACGAGCAGCAGAGGTCGATGTGATGGCGCACTGTCTGAGTGCATACTTTGAGGTATCCTCGTAATAACCTTATTGTTGTACATCTCTTCCTTCATGGGAATGCCGAAATCCAAAAAGTTTAGAACAGAATCAGCAAACTTCTTTGTATGGAGTTCAGTCAAACCCTGGTGGCAGCCATGTTTGTTTTTATTATTTTAGGATGCTTACGCACATAATCATTCCATATTTGGAGTTCGCATTTCCTAATATAGTAGGATGAAAATACCCGAAAAATACCGCAAAATTACTGCACGCTGTAACTTATGGCGTTACAGTGACAGATGTATAATAGTAATTGTTATTGAATCAAATCCTTGTTTGGATCTTAATAAAGTTGAACAGTGAATAAAGCAGCAACAAAAAAACCCTTACATACTTAAAAAAATAATGAAAGATAATAATTACATAAATTAAATCACTTTTTGGAACCTTTTTTTTAGAACTAACTGTAGGTCTTTCACTCTTACCTAATGCCTAAATTAGAATACTAATGACAATTATTCTTCATAAATAATGTGATGAAAGATTTCTCTGGGCAATATTTTTAGCCAGCATCCCCCAAAAAACTTGACTCTTCCTTCAATATATGGCCTAGGACGGTGTAATGAGCAAATATGGTAGATTATTTCCTGTAATTTAGTCAATTTTTTTTCCCATAATTCGGGGCCAAGCAGACAAAATATATTACTTGTATTATCATTCTGTCATGAAGTAGTTTTTATTGATTTACTCTTAGAAAATCTTGAAAAACTACTTCTTATTTTTGCAACAATTTTCTCTTTTAGCTTCTTGCTGTTGTTTATGAAACTTTCACAGGAATTGAAAAAGAAAAGTTCCGTCAGTTATTATTACATAAATACAAAGGTGCCTCTTGTGCGTTTAAACTACTTTGTAGTACTAAGGTAAGGATACACTATTTGTATTGATGACATTAATGGCTGACATGACCACCCATTAATGGAATATGACCACAGTAATTCATGGGTGAATACTTTGTATTTTTGTAGGACAGGATAGGGATAGGAATGTGATCAAATAGGGATAACAAACAAACTAAAACAATTAAGAATAAAATGATCAATACTTGAAAAAATAGAAGGAAACATACTCCTGTTGCTCAAGCTTTGTAGGTTGAGGGCATAAATAAAAAAAAAGCAATGAAGAAATTTTCCCTAGTGATTATAGTAAAAAAAAGTAATCTTGTTGCAGTTACACAGGATACAAAATTGATTGCCTCTCTTGATTCCATTGTATTTGCCTTTTTAATTGGAAGCTTGTGGGCAGAAACTCTAAATTTTTTATGTTTGTTCTGCAAAAATAGAAACTGTGTAGTGATGTAAAAGCTGTATTGCCTTCAACTCTTTGAACTATTTCCACAAATGTGAATGGAATAATGAATTTATCAACTTTGAAAAATTTTTTTGTTGAATTATTAGTTTTGTTGGTTTTCTTTTTAATAAACATCTTGAGGTTTTCAAGGTAAAATAGAATTGCCCACTGTGCCATGTAGGGCTCATACCACTAATTGAATTTCCATAGACGACATGAACATGCCAGTAATCAGGCACATGAAAAAAACTAACATGTTGGCCAGCTCAAACTCTTACAAATCTCCGGTAAACAAGACACACCTACTGTATTTGGATTGCACCTAGAGAAATCACTGGAAAAACACCAAGATTAGAACATCCAAATACACACAGAATAAACCCACAGGTACACAGACGCTAAGTAGTAAACAAAAGATCACATGTTGGTCTCACCTTTGACCCAGGTGATTACGCCCTCAAACAGGGAGCACCTGAGAAAAAATATTTAAAAAATGTCATTGGTTCTTGCAAGGTATTTAAATTGAGGGCTACAAGCAGCCATTGGTTGATTAGTGGCATGAGACCTGTATTCTGCAATAGTGAATGGCATCCTCTGGTGGATTCTACTTTTTTATTTTTCATTTGTTTGTATTAATGTCCTGCTTTGTGATTTGTGGAATAACAATATTTTTATTATAATAAATGATATTGAATTATATTTTTATTTGACACTCTTTGTAAGATTTATTTATATTCATCATTATACAATGATATACTTAAATGGTAACCAGTATTTATATAAATATGGACTCAAATTGTAATTTTACTGAAATCCTGAATTACTAAAGCAGACTGATCTATTGCCCTTCTTAGCTTCTAAGAGTGA